CCCCAAAACCCCAAAACCCCAAAACCCCAAAACCCCGTTTTTGGAAATTCAAACAGAAATAATTTATTTTTGTATTTAAAATGGACCCGAGTAGGACTATGAAATGATAATATATAGATATTACCCTACCTAAGCAGACTAAGGCAATGGGCATGCAAAAGTATTTAGATGTAATGAGAGAGGCGCTCAATAAGTCCATTGATAAACATTCTCAGCACTGGAGATCCCATCGATCTTTGAATGGCTGGGCTTCCATGAATTATCCTTCAACACTTTCAAACCCAATGCTGAAAAGAAGACCTGTTCCTATAAACCCAGATAGAATAGGTTTCAACAACTTGAGGAAGCCAATCTCTGCTCCGAGAGACCGGGTTAGGAGACCTTTGACTGCTATTACTTCAAAGGGGAAGAGATGAACCAAACCATTGCCTATAAATCATAATTTCTACAATGCCAAGAAAGAAGAATTAATAAGAATAAATGACTCTGAGGAAGATGAAAGTGGTGTAGAAAGTTTAAAATAACATTCAATCCACCAAATACGTTACTGATGCTTACAACCTCCCTCAATTTCATAAGCCAAGGCCGATTAGAGAAGCTGTTGGGGCTTATAGGATCAGAAATGCTCGAGGAAGTTTCCTTAACAAAGAGAGTTCCCTTCCTCCTGCTCTTGGAATAGACTTCTCTAAGAAAAGTGCTGGAATGCTAACAACGACTTCACATCAGGACAAGGTTAAGATAACAGAACAAACTCATAAGGACTCTGAGTACATCTCTCCAATGAAGCCAATGTCTGCCTATTGAGGAAAGAGGCCTGATCCTTCGAAAGATCCATACAACAGAAGGAAGGTAAAGCAGTTGGACGACATTTCATTTGAGTCAGACTCAGAAATAGAGGAGCATAAAGACTACAAAAGATTACCAGATACTGTACTAAATGAGGAGAATTTGAAGACTTCTCTCACACCTGCTTTGAAATCTCTGAATTTAAATAGTCATTTTTGGCTAAAGAACAATTTTATCAATAAGATAGGAAGGATGGCTCCCAACTTGGTGGAGCTATCTATCAGAGCTTTGAAGATAAACTCTCCGACCTTTATAGACATGGTAAAACACATGGGACTCCTCAAGATTATCGATATATCAAACTGTAAGCTTTTGACTGAAGAAGCTATTATTAAACTTGCTGAGACAAATCAAGGTATTGTCAGGTTCACCGCATCTGGCTGTGAAAGAGCAGTTACTGATAAGGCTATCAAGCATTTAATAGAATTTTCCAGAGCCCAGCTGGAATATCTCAATCTGAACTATTGCACTCAGCTGACTGACGAAGGGTTAAAAGCATTTGAGGAGAATAATCCAGAACAAATATTTTACGAGCTATATCTCAATGGACTTGAGAAGGTTACTAATGAAGGGTTCAAATCTATTATCTCTACTTGTGAAAAGACATTGATTCTCCTCAATATGGCTGTGAACAGCCAATATGAAGTCCATGGAGAGGTCTGAAAAGCAATAGCACAATGTTTCAAGCTCCAGATTCTTGATCTTTCAGGCTGTAGTTGAATTGGAGATAATGGAATCTCATATCTTTCATCTGGCTTCGTCATGGTTGAGGATAAAAAGGAAATCATTGGGCTGAAAGAGCTCGAAATACTCAAAATATGTTCTCTAAATATCAATGACACTAGTTTGATCAGACTTTTAAAAATAAGTGATAAGATCACCCACTTAGCAATCTCGAATTGTGTAAACTTGACTGAGTACTTCTTCTCTCAAGTGTCTTCAGCTGCTCCAAAACTTGAGTTCCTTGATATGAATTTGATTCCATGAATGGTCCCGAAAGTCTACGAAGAGTTTGTTGAGAACAATCCCCACCTTAAAATCAGAAGGTTCAAGCAGCAAATGGCTGATCCCAAGGACAATGGTCTCAGAAGACCTTTGAAAATTGCAGGCAAGAAGAAGGGCAAAAAGAAGGGAAAGAAAAAGGGCAAGAAAAAGAAGTAAATTTATCACTAATCATCAACTATTCTGCAATTTTTTTTCAACCAGCCTTATTTCTTTCCAAAATTGGGTGTCCAAGAGTTTCAATAGTTTATTTACCAATCGGGGTTTTGGGGTTTTGGGGTTTTGGGGTTTTGGGG